AACAGATTCATTGCACACAATTGAGTAAGATTTGACCGAATTGAGTGCAGGCGGAGAATGGATCGAAAACTGCCCGATACCGTCTATTGAGCTTAATTGAATAGAATAGTCTAGAAGACGACTTCTACTTTTTATCATTACAATTTTAATTTAGGTAATCTAGGAAAAATAAATTAGTCTAGAAGGAAGGCCTGTATTACATTTTATAAATTTTAGAGGACAATGGAAAATTACTGCTCATTGTAGCAACTGGACAGACGACTGGTGTAATATAGGCCCTTCTTCCAAATTGAAAAGTAAAAATAATAATTCAATTATTAAAAAAAATAATTTGTTACTTTTTAAAACTATACAATTAAAGCAAGGTCTCTTTTTCTGTTTGCTAATAGCAATATATTTTTTTACAGAATCGATTGCTAACATACGACATTTTTTCATACAGTCAGCAATGTTTACTTTTTTCTATACTTAATTTCTGAAATCTAAAATAATAATTAAGAAACAAAGCTTTGTAGAAACGTTTTTTACATCACATTCTATCCTTTTCTCATAAAAAGGCAACTTATAAAGAATTTATAATAAAAATCCTTCTTTTAAACACTTATTCACCTGTTAAATAGAGAAGCCCGTATAGATTCATGCCATTTGGAGCAAGGGTAAGAAGGTTACTAATAAATCACAATCAACGATCATTGAAATATACCAAAAATTTATTTACATAAAAACATGAATATAATACCTATAATATTTCAACTGCTGCGCTTTTTTTCCACCTGGCGTCATACCTAAAACAATTGGCGTCAAGATAGGTTCATCGAGAAAATTAGAATCGGTATTGTCGCAATTTCCATTAACGTCGCAATAGTCAAATAAACGAAATAGTCGTCGAACGGTTCTAATTCTAAGCTACACTTAAAGAAAAAGAAAAGTACTCGATAATACGCAGACATAGTATTCGAAGAGTTCGTTCATTCGTCGGCTAACTAGAAAAATTAAACAAACGCAGTTGGAGCCCGGTTCGCAACGCTGGCTTGCCTTTTTCTTCCTTCTACATCTTTTGCACCGACAAAACGTTATCGCCGCGCGTGTGCCTCGACTGTGCGCGCCAAAAAGAAAAGGACAAACGACATTGTTATCTCCCTTTGTCATAAATATAATGCATTTTATATTATTAAACATCTGCGAGTGTCCCCCTCCTCCCCCATCCTTCTCCCGATCAGAAATTTCATTCTTGCGCTACCATTCATTACAATATTTACAAAAAACGTACGTACAACGCATGGTGTTATTGGATCAGAGAAAACGAACGAAAATATTAGGTACGATACACAACGAATGAACAGAATTTTCGCGGTACGGTAAACATAATCGTATATTTTAATAAAATCGCCCTCTGTCGCTCATGTTCTCGCTCTGATTGCACTCGACCCTTGTCGCGACAGAATAATTCGCCATCCACTCATTGATTTCACAAAAGTCCGTCAATAGATCTCTCTCACTCTCTACTCCACTTTTCTTTTTCTCCTTTGTTTTCGACCATCCCATTTGCATCCACAAGCAAAATAATCCGGCGCCGAAAGACTGCTCCGTATCTTGTATTACTATGAATTTTATTAACATGTACCTTTGCGTTTCGCAGTTCTACAATTGTCATCATATAAATTATGTGGCTTTATGCTCCTTTTATTTTAAACAATGCAGATGAAACTTTTTTTTAATCTAATTATGGTGTATAGATAATCCATAGGTGACAAGAGAGAATCTATTTCACATTAAACAATTTGTTTACCTTATCTCAATTTTTAAAAATAAAGTACACGAATACCGTATTATTTATGGGTTGATTCAATATTTAACAACAAAGGGGAATGATAAACATTTGATTCAGAATAAACGAGAAATAACTTGATAAATTAAATATGCACATGTAACCAGTCGTACGTATGGTAATACAAGACTGGTCGTATAATTAGAGCCCGGATGCAAATGGTTATTCTACGATCCACTATTCGCAAGCGAGGCGTCGCGTCGATCCTCTCTCACATCACATACGTTTTCACTGCGGCTCTTGCCGGCGCTCCGTGTGCAGCACTCAAATCGGCGTTCTGCGCTACGAAAACGATCAAGCACGCGATCTACCACTAAGCTATGTACCTGCTGATTTCCGACATGCGTCCTCGTGTTGCTTAGCTCGAAAAGGTTCCTTAACCGATATGGATACAAAAGAGAGTTGTTTCGCTTCGCACCGGCATACAGTGGGCCGAAATTGTCAAAGACTAGGCATTAAACGGAAAAATAATTTATTTATAGAGAAATTTATAGAAAAATACTTTTTTTTACTTTAAAATTTATTTTCCTATATATTTTTTCTATAAATAAATTATTTTCTCGTCTAATGCCTAATGTTTGATGATTTCGACCCATTGCGCAGCAGCTTGCCCGTTCGTAAAATGTTTCGTGAAACTGACGCCACGTGAAGAGTCTTTTTGTAAATTAGATACTTGAACCAAAAGGGTTTAAGAATCTTAGGACGCAGTAATTCGGATAAACTCGGTTGATGGACATTTATCTTCATGTGTTCTATTTTATAAATTAAGAATAAGCAAACTTAGACAGATTACAGAATCTTAGATTGTAGAATGTTAAATGAATAAATAGAATCTTAAATAAAATGGGTCATGCATCATATTTTTATATTTATTATTGAGAAATGTCGAATGTGTTTTTTAAAATAACAACTGCACATGTACAATATTAATTAAGGTTAAATTTGTCATTGTTTCTGTGTTCTAATATTGCCTCCCTAACTATAATTTTTCCTCTGTTTGTCTTTTTATATACAGAGTGTTTAAAAACTTGTAAGTAGATTCCCAAACACAAATATAGAGAAATAATAAATAAACTTTATAATAGTATATATTTCATAAAATATTAATTTATTTTTAGATACAAAAATTGAAAAATATTAATGATTAAATGTTAGTAAATACAAGGAATATTAAAATAGAACAAATTTAAGTATTATATTATATTATAAGATAAATAATTCAAATTTCATTAAGTAGCTCATTGTTTCCAAGATAGAAATCGTTATGAAAATTTTATTTACGTATTTTTAAAAGCTCTGTATAAAAGTTTCTATTTCCTTTGGCAAACGATTAAAAGATAAAAGGTCAAGTGCATGAATTTTAGTTTGAGACACTTTAAATGTACAACACTTTAATAAATTATTGTTTACAAGATGAAGATTTTAACTTATGGTCACGAATTGGATTTGAGGTAACAAAAGTAGATTCGAAAGTGATAGCAACAGAGATTTGGAATTTGAATAAAAGCATCGAGGAGTCAACTCTCTGTAACCCAAGCATTCAGCCACAGCTTTTATTTATTATAAACTTCAGCCACTTCTAAGAAGATTCGTAACAGTAACAAATCATTACAAATTAAATCGAGACATAAAACTTCCATTTCGCTACTACACGCTTCTTCTTAATTTAACATTTGTACTAACGCTTTAGAATAATAATTATACACAGATGTCAGAATAAATAAATCAAATCTTACAAATAATACAAAACGCTTAATATGTCGTCGATCTCTCTGGGTTACAGAGTGTTAAGGGCTTGAAATTTCACTCTGTGGACTCGATTAGGATATGCAGTTTTTACGAACAACGGAACGTCGACTCTTGGGATCTAATATGAAATGCAGTTTTCAATACACATTTGCTAATGTAACTTTCAAGTATTATTTCACAAAACTTCGAAGATTCCAAGTCTTTTACTGCGATTCTAAAGAATATAGGAAACTAAAGATTGTATTAATTGAGACAGTTCTCCAATGTGTCCAAATTATATCTACTGAATTCTCGAAAAGATTAAAAACTTTTTAAAGATTTAATTTATTTATTCAAATAATTTTTGACCGGCAGCAAATCACAAAAATAAAATATTATGTGAAGTTACTCAATTGAACTCCGTTTTAATACTGAATATCACTTTTTTTGTCATATTACTAATAATACTTAAAGTTCAAATACATTGTCATTTACTTCCATGAATTAAAGTGATTTATTTGATAAGTTTCCAATAACATCTGGGACGTCTTTGGCAGTGCGAACTCTTAAAGCTTCTCTTATGCCGAAGCAAAATTAAATTTAATCATAAAAACATTTTGTTTCGTTATACGAAAAGCGTTCGGCTATTTTAATGACATATTCTATGACACTGTAATTTGGTTTATTCTATCACTGAAAATCCTTATTCCTTGCTCGATGCCGAGACTGATAGAAAGATATTCATACTTTTATGTTCAGCGTCAATCTTCGTTTAAAAATGAGTCAGAGAATTTTTGAGCGTCTATTCAGCTAAGTCCTGAAATAATTGCGCCATTGGTATGAAGTTCTTAGGACTACCAATTATAACTTTATGCAGTAATGACCATAAACCCGACACTAAATGAATTCAGAAGATCCTTAAAGATTAATTAAATTCGTGGATTGAAAAAGAAGTGAACATCTGAAGAAAGAATAAGAAATATGTATGACAATTGGACTTTTAAGAGCTTGTATGTAGGATTATATATGGATTACTCTAAATATAGAATGGAATATGCAGAATGTTGATAAGCTGATGTTAACAAAAATCTCTGGTAAAAATAAATAAGACTATTTTGTATGAAACGTGTTGACAACAATATTGCAATATATCTGAGACAACAGTGAATTTTTTAAGACATTCGCTATTAGCTTATTGCTATGAACATTGACAATAAGAGATTTATTGTCTTCCTTGATGTGTTGTAGATTAACATATTTAAATTAGAGTTTCCAAAATCAGTTATCATTTATGATTCCATAATCTCTGCTAGAAATATCATCTAAAATGTACTGTGCAAATGAAAGTGCAGATATAGTATTCCAATGATTCAATTTCGTAATGATGATGAGTGACAGACAGGACACAAATGACAATGTCATGGTTTCACTAAAACGTCTTTCGTCGTGATTAATTATCTTTTCTATTTCAATATCCTTGTTAGTTACAAGAGTGCGTTGTTTTAAATAAAAAATAGTATAATATTATATACAACTCTGAATAATGCTGCCTACGTTGCCATAGTTTCAATTGACAGAATTACGATCGGCGTTTCACGTCGTTCTCGGTAAATCAAGTAGCCATAAGCAACTGTGTATTCACTGTACGCCATTTACTCGAGCTTCAATCATATCCCAAGCTGGTATTCCGTTGTCGGTAAAGACCCTGTACATCAGTTTATATTCCGTTACAATATTCATCCGCAAGCAACACACCGAAAGTGTTCAAACATCCTCTTTCTCAATCAACATCGCATCAGAACTACGTCCTAAAACTCTTCCTCTGCCCTCTATCAAGAGATCCTCAAGGTTTAAAAAGTCAACCTGTGCATCGACAGCTATGAGAACGTACATCGTTCTACATCCTCGAACGTTCATGCTCGAAAGACTCTCGTCGTAGCGTTGTTTCGACGTAGAAACGATCGTCCCCGGAGGAAAAAGCCTTCGGGTGGGGTTCGTATAATTCTCGCTTATCGTAAAGTCAGACGAAAGTCAAGTTTCCGTTAAGTTCGATACATTAGTCCCAAAAAACGTATATCGTTAGCAATATATCGTTACCATTACTATTATTGGTTCCGTTTGATTGGACCGCGCGCACGGTAGACAAAATTACAGTTACATATAAATCGACGTCGGTGAGCGTGTACCGTGCAGAGCACCGAAGATGTCTTATGGAAGGAATGCGGGCCTAAGTGGTTAGAGCGGAAGAAGGCACGCCTATTCTCACACGCGTTTCCAGCTTTACCGCGTTATTTACTGGAATAGTCGCGTAATGGTGGGAATAAACAAAGCTCTTGTTCCTGTACCCTTCCACGAAACATCTCTTGTGCTTCGAGCAGTACAAGCGTATGTCTGTGTTCCGCGGTTTCCTTATCAATCTCAACTAGGTCTCGCTTGTCCATGTGCGGCTCGATTAGAAAAGGTTTCGCAATGATCGTATACGCTCAGAAAACGGGTCCTCCTCCGTCTAACTTCTATCAAAACTCGGCTAGTAGAAAATATCGTATCGCGGTCCTCCGGTATTCTTAACAGTGTAAAATGCACAGGACTCGGCGAGACTCGCTTAAACGCCGCGGCAGGCGTTCGATGTCCTCGAAGAAGGATACAAACGTTTAAAGACGCCCGAAACCGGTGATAGAAATTCATGAGTACAAACAGTTGAAATCGGTTGCAGCGGGCAACAAGAGGTTCTCAGTCGTTGACGAAAATTCCATTGGCGATCACACGGTTAGTGTAAAATGGCGACGCAAAAGTGCCTACCATTCATCGTTCAGAGTATAAAAACGCATGCGCTGTTGAACATTCTTTGCTCAACTGGCCACGTGGAATCGTTAGGAATCTCTCATGGGCTTACAAACGAAATGCATCGATTAATGGAATTAACTTGGATCCTTGAACGATATTTACGTCATTCCGCTTGATAAAAAAACTCATTACAAATTCGTGTGATGGATATATTTACATTGAGACTGGTAGTCGTAGCAGTTCAGCGGAAGCAGTGGATCATACGAGTGTTGTAATGTTTTATAATGTTTGATGTAGACCGATTGTAGAGACCATGAGGATTCGTTTGAATGTTTCTCGATCGATCGATGATAAAGTAATTGCGTATTGCTTGAAGTTTCACGCTTGGGCGATTGAAGGAAAAACGATGATATGAGAACGGGAAAAAAATGGATGATCGAAGGTCGCGTGTACGAGATCTCGAGTTCTTTGCTAATAACGTGAAACCATACTAGGTGAAAAGTAAAAGTTGACGACGAATGGAGAGCAGAGCCGCGCGTGGCGTTCGATCGAGGTCCATCGAATATGTTAAGTGTTATCGTGTCCACGTCGCAGAGGGTAGCTCAATTCGTACGTTATCATCTAAACATACAGTATCAAAGTCGATATATTGATATAAACGCTCATACGTGTTCCATTTATATACATACACACTTATTTACGAGGATTTAAAAAAAAACGCATTGCGTATCATTGTGTCTCTCGTGAACAGCGTTCTCATCATTCATGCGTACATGTTGCGAGACATTAGGTTTCTGCATACGAAATTTCGTGTTTCATAAATGAAATATTCTTCGAAATATCATTGGAGTTAAATACACCTTAAAGACACGGTAAAAACTAACTATACAAGAATTCAGCGAATTTTAATATGTTTACCATGTTTCCCGGTTTGATCTTCCGATCCCTCAACAAAAAATATACGTTTCTATTTTCTCCACGCATATAATTCACTTCCAGAAAATGGCGTGCGATATGCTTTCTTTAAAACCTTGAACTTGACAATCATTAACGCAAAGAAAAAATGAATAAAGAAATGTTTCTTGTAAAAAATACTATATTTCATATGCAATCACCTAACATCAACGTTACAAAGTCCTCGGTGTAACTGTTTCGATCTCTCGTCATCGGATTCGTGTATAGCTGTTCCGTTGGAATAGAAAATAAGCGAGAAAAGGTCCGTCGTTAACTGGTTGGCGGACATCAGAGATTACAGCTAAGCCTAGTTAACTCTGGATTAACTTGCACAGAAAAACGGCGAGCGCGGTTTACGGTGTCTTAAATTCGATTGGCTTGCGTCCGACCGCGTCCGCGGTCCTTCTCCTTTTAAATTTCCCGCGCGAGGATCGCTCGCAAAAAGTCGACTTCCGTCTCGGTTCACGGGAAACAAAAATTAGGAGCTTAAGACTTATATATCACATCCTCAATATGTGCGGCAGTGTTTCCCTTACGTTCTAATTGAATGGCCGTTTGCTAAATCGCCGTCAAGACAGATGCTTCACATCAGGCTCGATAACCTATAATTCCGATTTCCGGTGGTCCTCGCCTCTCTCGGTTCACCGAGTTCTCGCTAAAAAAATTCTCTATAGGACACCAACATCGAGGGTCAGACTCGACGCGGCATTGACGACCATTAATTGGCAGTTATCGATCAGACTTTCATCCCTCGAACTCCTAAATATACATCGATTATCCTATAACGGCCGCAGCTGGTTCTCGGGTAGATACAAGATTTCCAGCCAAGCTGATTCCATGCAAACTTTGACGACGTACGCAAAACACAAATCCGAACAAGTTTCATCAAGGATAATCGTCAATCCCCTTTCCTCTCTTCTCGAATTGTCTTCCTCCGAACCGGTGTACAGGCGAGGGACGATCAACGTGGCGTGGACTCGATGCCAGGACCTCGAAATGGTGACCAAATCACAGAACAAAGCGAATTCCTTCTCGCCCTTTCCTTTAGTCCTTCCACCAACTGCACAGACAACAGTACCATCGCCTTTCGGGACGGGGCTGAATTAACTGCTATTGTCAGTGCATCGCTCTGGTAGTGGTCAAATGCGTGGTCTCTGCCCTTTTTGGTGGTGGTGGGGGTGGTCTTCTCTTATTAGCAATGGCGTTCACGATATTGATGCTACGATTCTCATCGGCGAACCTGACAGTCGGTTGACGGGCTGGACTGGAAGCGTACTCGACAGGAGCATGAGGATCCGTCGCGTAGACATTTTCATAAAGGTTATCAGCTCCGTAATGTTCCTGGACCCAGTTAGACACATTTGTTTCCCTATAATCAGCAACCGCCGGCGGAGGATCGCGGAATCCAAGAACTTCATGAGGAGTTGTCGTCGCGTCCAGTTTACACTTCTGCGCCACCTGCCACTTCTTCCTCATCACCCTCTGAAGATCTTTCAAGAAATCACCAGGCGGAGCTTGATCGGACGCGGCCAGCTTCTTAGGAGACGTCAGCCTCGTGCTGTCCGATCTCCTCGGCGGCATCGGTTTCCTTTGTGGCAGAGCAGGACTACCTGGTTCCTGTTGAGGCGGAAGATTGAACGTGATCTTCTTGCCAGTACCCGTCTTCGACTTCGGTGACGTCGGCGGTTCTTGAATGGTTACCCTACGCTGGGGCTGGGGACTTGACGCAGCCTTCAGTTCCGCTAGATACGGTGGAGCCGCGTAGTGACTCGAGCTCTGCTTCATGGCACTTCGCCGCACCGTGTCCATGTTCGGGTTCGGCCTGATCGGTTGAATTGCTGAGTGCGGCAGTGAGTGAGTTCCGTATATCGATTCTACTTTCGAGTTCTGCCTCGTTAGGCTTTGCGAATTTCCGTGCTGCTGTTGGGAACCATAAGCTGGAGGGGCGACGAATGGCGGTGGTGAGGCGAAGTTCGGAGAACTGGGAGCATAGGTAGGCGTGCTCGCGCTGGATCCTGGATACGAGCTGTGAGACGAAGCTACAGAGTTTGCCGTGTTGTTCACGTGAAGAGCATTCTGCGTGTTCATATTGTAGTTTTGACTGTTTTGAACCGTCGCGTTGTTCTGGATTGAGTTGGTCGCGTTCGTGTACATCTGCTGATTGGCTGATCCTCTCGACGGTGTGTGAGTTGGTGTATTTTCTGGCGTCACCGAGTTCGTGGGAGTGGACTGTTTGGGCCTTGCACGTCGAATGGTCCCAGTTTCGCCTACCAGAGGGCTAGGAGGTGGCGGAAGGGACGCGAGACTCAACGATGAACCAGAGAGCTCAGGTGTATTACATACTGGCAGTTCACCAGGTGCTGGAGGTGGTGGCAACGAGTCCAGGGAAAGATTCGATCGGAACATTTCTGGTGGGGGCGGTGGCAGCGGTTCGCTGTCGGACTCTGCTTCCTCGGCGACTCTTGATGGCGATGGCGGCGGGGGGAGTGAAGTGATTGAATCCATCTATAGAACATTATACGATAAGTTAATATCTCAAAAACCTTAAATATCCAAAATGATTTGAAAAATAGTTTCACTTGAATACTATAATGAATATACGAAGAAATCGAAAAAAATCTATTCTTACAATTTTTATAAGCATTATATATTAATTCTATTAAACGGTCAATTGTTCTAGTGTTAATAAATGTTCCTTTTATTAAATTTTGCATAAATAAAATAAGCAATAATCGGTTCAAGAAACATACGAATAATATGGGAATTAAGTTAAAGTTCTTCAAATAAATTTCGAAACATTTCCAATTCTAGTTTTTGTTAAACAAGATCGCGCATTGTCTAGTAAAAGTAATTTAATTTTTTTAAATTACGCCAAAAGCCAACTTTTTAACTTGTTACATACATTCCTTTTTCCTAGTTCTCCGATGTGTAAGGTAATAACACAATAGTAATAAATAATGAAGCATTTGAACGCTAGAAAAACAACGCTAACAGTTTTGGATATCTAATAAATAAATCAATCAAATTCATAATACATACCATACACGGTGGAATAGGGCTCGTGGGCGTTTTCGATTCCTGGTTCTCCGCTCTGTTGTATCCCATTGGGCTAGCTCTCTCTCGGACTGGCGTGCCAGGGGGTACAGGACTAACTGGAGTCGCATTGCCAGATCGATGATGTCTCTTCAATGTTCCTGATCCGTCGGAATCAGTGCCACTCCTTCTGCGACTGTGCCTTCTAGTTAATGTGCCGGATCCTGAGCTCGTAGGACTGGGACAGGAGTCTGGCTCATCGCGAACAGTTTCGCCTACTTCCTTTAGCTGTCGTGTGATCGATGTAAGAGGGAGTTTTGGGTTCATCGATGGTTTCCTCTTTATCGTTCCTGTTGGAAACTCGCCACACTCGAAAGCTACCTGCAAATATCAAACGAAAAAAGCATTACGCGCTGAATTATCGCCACTAGGAATAAAAAAAATAATAAAAATTTGATCTTAACACATTACGAACAGATGTAGGGATGTCTCATGCTTTCTCAGTAATTTTAACAAATCAACATTTTAAATAATACGTACTTTGAACATGCATGTAATTTTAAAGTATTTCTTGAAATCAAATATTTAACAAGATAATGAATTCTAACTTTAAAAAAACCATAAGTAACAACAAATATATTTAACCCAAAAAATGGATAGTTACTAGAATTATTGATTAGCTGAATAGTTCTGATTAAATATCTATTCTACAATGTCGAAGCTTATTATACGTGCCTCACAACTACTCGGTGCTCCGTCCGACAGACATCCGCTGGAACTCGAGCTGCTGGCTCTACTCAATCTTCCATCGTTATTGTAACTCTGTCGTTGCTCAGAATTGTAGCTTTGCCTCTGACCGTCATACTGTCTGGTGTTTGCAGTTTCCGTGCTGTTCCTCGAATTCTCCGTGAATTGGCGGGCATTGTCGTTGCTGGTATTGTACTGGGTCTGATTTTGAGGCGGTACTGCGATGGAACTGACGGAACACGATCTAGCGTGCGCAAGCATATCGAGATCCTCCTGTGCCAGTTCGTCGACAAGAGTTCTGTAATTCTCCATTAACTGTCTGCCATATTTAGCAACTCTGATCCCGACTATCCATCGTTCCAAGGACGCGTTGTCATCCGCGCAAAGGAACTTGATGTACTTGGTTGACTTCGGCTGCTGCAGCCTGGGATGCTTCACAGCGAAGCAGAAATCTGTTGGCGCTTTGTATTTCTTTTTCCAACCAACGCCATAGTAGATTTGATTCACGTCGAAAGTTGCCAAGCAAACTAGATCGCGCGCGGTGCGAGCCTTTTCTTTTGGCCAATAGTAGAGGCCAGACGCTCGCAGGATGAAGTGATACCTTTTCCAACCTTTCTTGCTATCTGATTTTAAATATAACGGTCCTTCGACCTGCAAGTTAAAGCAATCGATATGTTAAGAGGATATAATAGCTTTCAATTTACAACGATTGAGGAAATCTATTTCATGGTGGTACTGATCAAATAATTTACCAAATGTCCAGAGAGATAATTAAAAAAAGGAATTTCATGGTGAAGCGCATATGGGAAATTGATAGAGAAAGTATAGTTAAGATTTAACTTGAATGACGTGATGTTGAGTTAAACAGTAACAGACTGATGTGCCTGAATATTTTTATTTAATATCTTTTGTCGAATATTTAGCAAATGTTTTAGTAAGTTAGCAAACATGTTTCTGAAAACATAAATCTGTTGAGCAAAGTAACTGTTTTTGTAAACGAATAACTAAAATTTCGAAATAACAACCAATAAAAATTGCTCCACTTCGAAACAATAGGTATAATAATTTTTATTTTCACGATGAAATAATCGTATACACAGCCACTGTAAGAGCATTTAATAAAAGAATATGACGTAATTACCTCTGGTACACCGACATTGCTGCTAGAGAAGAACTCCTCTAAAAGAATATTGCGAGAGTGGTCGTCGTATTCCGCGCTACTCCTGTCGGATGGACCAAGAAGGAACCTCTCCGGATTAAGGAACAGTTGAGTTTTATCGGGTCGTTCAACGAAAAGTAGTTTATTTTTCGAGTCTCTCGTCCATAGTAAAAGATTTTCTACCAGCAGCTCATGATCCTCGTACACCCTTTCTGTAAGATCGAAATAATGAGTTCATACGACCGCCCACCGACAATGAAATGAGTTTCTGGAAGCAAGTCGTACGTAACAAATTATTTAAATTATTCTGTGAGGAACAAATATTTAAAGATAATCGAAAACCATAATATTTATATTCCGTATCGAGTACATAATTAATTAATTACTTTATCATCACTGGATTATCATTTATTTTTCAATTTTCTTCATTGTTACAGTGAACATTGATTTTGAAACGATGATTTTTATATCCCATATTGAGTATACAATTAATTAGTTACTTTCTCATCAGTGAATTATCATTTACTTTTTAATTTTGTTCATTGTTACAGGGAACAATAAATTGATTTTACGTTTCTAATTGTTTATTCAATTGATCAATCGAATCAGAAAATATACTTACCCATGAAAAGATCAGGCAGATGCTCAACTACAGCCCACTTTGGATCCATTGGTACGTGGTTCTTATCGGCGAGGAGCCTGCATACGTGAGCCACGCTCATTCCCTCGTCAACGAGTAAACTTTTCCCACTGCCATCCAGTGTAAACGCTTTAATGAACAGCTTCTGAACGCTCGCCTCGCGCATCTTCTCCAGCGCCAATCGAATTTTCTCTGCCTTGACTCTGCTTGCAGCGTCTGGTGAATTTAGGTAATTATGCCTTATTCCACTTTATTTCAGCTGACTTGATGAGAGATTCAAGTGCCAAGAGTAGAGTCAAATAAAAGTTCCACAGCATTTGACTCTCGATATGATTAAATTGACGACGACTATTTTATCTTTAAGTTCAATTATTTACTCCGATGATGCAAAAGTATAACCAGTTTATTTGTCGGTATAGTTTTCTGAATTTTGAAAAGCAATCATAAACCGAAAAATCTACTATCCTTTACTACTTCAAAAGCAAAGTACTGCTTACCTAGATTGAATTACTTTAATTTTATTATACAATTTAATTAAAGAAGACATTTTTTAAGGAAAAACGAATTTTAAGATTCTTTTATTTCTATTTAGAAGTTTGATTTTGTATGAACGAGATAAATAGAAGAATTGATGAAGTTTAATAACTTTTATGTTAAATATTTTACACCCTACTGCTAGCCTTAAAATGGACATAAATATCAGTGTAATTCTACTTTTATATTTTAAGTTAATCTATATGAAGGTTAACTGAATATTATTCATTTAGATTACTAGAACTTACCCATGAGTTGGTGGGGTTGCTGTTGAGGGGCTGTGTGCATGGCGGTCTGAGGTGGTTTGTGTCCGGAACCACTGCTACTTGCTGAGCTCTCGCTGGACAACATCGACACCGTGTCCGAGAAGGCGCTGTCATTGTCTGGACTATCGGTTCGCATAGCTGTAACAAACGGTTGACGTTCATTAAAGAAAGTTGGCAACGTAAGAACAAATTAATTACGCACTTATGAGTTGGAACCGGCTATTTCGAGTCTAATAGATACTGATGTATGAAACAGACTGACAAGAATATGGATCACGGAGTTACTAGTGAAATTAGCTCTTGTTTTTGCGATGCATAATTTCTACAGGATAAAATAGAAATCAAATTCTAAAGCGAAAAACTTGATGAATTCAAGCGTAACTCTTAACGCAATTTATTAAATTATTACCTGCATATTACACATAATTTTAATTGTTTTTCTTTAACCTGCAGAATTTTATCTTACTCTTTTAGCTGAATACGTATAATAAAACATCTTCTTGTAATAAAGCATAATTTAACAAAACTGTCCTGCTTGATCTTTTTTTTATGAAATAAAAATGAAATCTTTTAGACGTAAAGTATATTGTTAATTTTATGCTTCCATATTTCCTTATATATTTATAATATTATAATTGTCAAAAATAAACAAATATTTTACTAGAATTTCAATAACAAGAAATGTTACTTCAATAAAATTTTACTTAATCTTACTATAGTAACAAATAATGTGTAAATTCAATAACACAGGAATGTTATAAACAGAGGTCTTTCGCTGAGTGTTTGATTCATAGCTTTGTTGGGTTACATATAACCGCATTGGCAAACGGCAAATTAACATCGAAAATGAGATGAGACATCCAAAAATCGAGTAATCAAACCCACATTCTTTAGTTTAACCATCAAGCGATCTCCCATCTTTATTAACCCTTCGCACTCGAAAACTTAAAGTCTCATATAAATTAAGGAACGCAACTATCGTATTTCAATATTTCAGTGACGCCATTTTTTACATAAACTTAACACTAATTTTTTTGGTAACGTATCGAACAAACAGAATTTTGTTGGATATATGAGATATAAGAAGGATAGTAGAGTAATCGTTATGAAAAATCTTGACTTCTTATTTCCTGCTTTATTAACATTAAAACTATCAAACAGGTCAAAATGACCCATTCCTGATTTCTTCTTTTTGCAATTATTAAAAAGATAACAAACATTTTTCTGAGAAATCATTAAAAAAATTGATTTAGCAATACACAAATTGAATTTTGTCAATTACAGCTTTAATAGATGCACTCTTGGAGTTTCTACAGATAAATTTCAAAATGTGAATTTAACTGCTCGGTAGTTTTAGTGCTAAAAAACCTGTTTCGCCTGCATAGGAGTTTCGATGAGTGCTTACTTGGCAGTCAAAGTGTCAACCGGTTAACAGCGTTTGATGAATATACAGGTCATCTTAAAATTCGAAATGATACCAATTTTCTCAACGATGAATTAGTTATTCTTTCAAATATACGTAATTTTTCTTTGCTTTGCTTTAACTTTTCGTCAGAATACATTATAGGTACAGTTGCACTGCGTTTGACGAGTACATACCTCATTGCTTGACTTTATTGCGCGAACAATGAGAGATTTTTCAAACTAATTTCCACAATTAATTACTTAATACGAACCAATAAATTTAATATAATATAAATTTAATATCGAATATCAGATTTTGATAATGTGATGGAGTACGACAGATAATTCAGCTTTCGAGTGTAAAGGGTTAAAACGGTTAAATCTCGAGACAAGTACCTCCTTCGTTCTTGCCGATATCGGTATTGTCACCAGGCGTGATCCTGGTGCTATTGGGTCGACCCTGTCTCTGGGCGTCGGGTGCAGATGTAGCAGCGATATCGCCGTCGCAGCGGCGCTCCAGCGCGCACAGCTCGCCGAGGATGGCATCCAGATCGACATCTTGGGAATCTGCAACGAACGAAAAAGAAACGAACCAATTAGTCCTGCGGAAGAAGAAAAAAGGAGGAAACGCTCCGATAGGAAAAAAAGAGGGAAGCACGAACAGTAAAAGTGATGTGCGTGGCGTGTAGGTACGCCATAGAGAAAGATGGCGTGCGACGATTACGATCGCTGGAAGCTGGACAAGGGTCGACTGGAATTATGAACGATACGTCGATGAAACCAGTTCTGCGTTAATTGCCTGTACGATTGTACGGTCGTCTGGCAACCGCACGTCGACCGATCGTCTGTTCCTCGAACGCGAAACGAGGACTCCGGCCCGCGGTCTCTCCGTGTACCTGACCTCGTGCAACTAACGCGAGCGAAAGTCCTTGGGTGACCAAGAAAACGAACGCCTTTAATTGAAACAGCGAATAGTACAGCGGTTCAGCATAAACCAATGGGGAATTTATTTTATTCCCCCGTCCCCTTGCTTTTTCCACTTCTAACTATCCGCTATACGGAGAGTTTTCGAGTCGTTTGACTTCTGTGCCGCGCAGATTATTGGCGATGCACTGGCGTTAAAATTTCATTTACGTAATTGTGGTGAGATGAGGAAGTGTCGCCGCGAAATTGATGTCAAATCCACGGGTTCTTTTTAAGGAAGTGCATGGATTCAGAGAATTTGTAGTTTATGTATTTTCAGAGGACTTTGGAACGGTTTGGATGATTAATTCCTTGAAAGCGAAATATTTTAGAGGAACTGTTTAACTGATTTCAATTATTAATTGGATTGTTTCTTCGTTTTCTGCGTAATGAAATTTTATCGAAAGTTTGCATTTCAATTGTACTTTGCTCGAAGATAGGTACAAATGTTACTTCTCTTTTTGTACCGTGAATTTCTTCAGTCATAACTAGACGTTTATTATAATTAACACTACGATTATTCTAATTTTTGTAAACAGAACGAAACTTGCAGTACAAAAAATCAATTTCTGTGTAATTGTAATATTTACTAAATATTGTATAAAACTGAATTTCTAGAAACATTGGCAACTTGGCTGTAGCAGTATAACTTTTGGTATTACTGATAAAAAGTCTTCGTTAGAGAACAATGCTAAATCAAATTCAGTTTTAATATATCTTTCAGGAACTGTGGTATAGAAGAAAATACTATAACTACTTAGTTCCCCACGTTTCCAAGCAAATCGCAAAGCAACAGTTCCGTGCTGGCATCCGTTTCTCGTTTTCCTTTATTTCCACCCGTTCCCCGTCGAAACATTCTTCCAAGAACAGTTGCATGCGAAATCGAACATACAAATCTCAGTAACTTGAACGCGATCCTCGGCGTTTGTTCGCTCTGACTAGCGTAGTAATTATCGTAGATCGTTACTCGCAGCTGATGATACCGACTTCATTAGGATAATTAACGAAATTAGACCGTGCCCGACCAAGCAACTAGAAAACCGATTTCATCGTCCGAACAAAATTATTCAAATGAATTACATAAGCGTTTCTATCACTTCCATACGCATAACACTTTGTTTCGTCGATTTAAATCACCACCTGATTTCACTTGCTCAACGGAAAGGTTAGATACCAATATGAGGTCATATCACAAAAAATGTTTCTTATGAAATTTTTAACGGCAAACCACAGAACTTTATCGGAAATGGAATGAAAAATTAATCAAAGAATAGGAAAAGGTCATACACAACGATAGTAAATACTGGATGTTAGCATTAAAAAACTATATTACATATGGAATGACATTATACAGTCAAAGAATCTGCAGAGTTGTTAGGTTCAAAAGTTTTATTATCCATTTGTGACATTTTCTGAATATCTGCTGAATATTTAAACCTTGAATATGAATAGCAATGCAATGGGGCGACGTCAAATATTCTCGAGCTGTATTTATTGAAATACTGGATGCACGAATGAATGATCTGTTATTTTCTATTTTAATAAACCGGTAACATTATTGGAAAGGAACAAACTTTATTAAATTGGTACAAGCTTTTAATATCTGACGCAATAAACATTGAATTCAATAAGATTAAATTACTGAAATATTGGAATTGAGTTGTTGATATATTGGATTTGTATTTAATTGTGTTTAAAAGCTAAAAAGATTAAATGAAACTGATGAAATGACGAAAAATATAGGAATATTCAATATTACAAGTCGATAGAACGAACTATATCTAAAACGTATAAATTCAGAAAAATTTGAGAAATTAATAAATTCTCCGGAGTCTATTAAAAGTATTACATTTAGCTTTATTTGAATACTCTAGCATTCGTAAGTTGGAGGGACCATTTAGTCTTCCAAAAGTATGATTACAACTTTTATTTTTAATTATACTTAACATCCTACACGTAATTAAGAATATTTTTAAGAAAATACTTAAAAGCACCCATTAGGTCAAGATTTACTTGCTGAAAATGGCTGTTTCAAGAGTTTCAAAGAACAACATACTATTAGTCATTACAAATACCAATTGCAATACTGGTAAAAAATAACTGATAATTTCGAAGGAAGTTAAATAAGTAGTGAAACATAAGTAATTATTAAATTTACCATGGATTTAAATTATTATCTAAAACATCCTCTGTATGCAACTATATCTGCCATTTATTCCCCAAATAATATTAAACAGATATAAACTTATCGCTCAAAAATGTTTCACTATTCACAGTCCTCTCATTTTACCAAAAAGACAATGAAAAAATAATAGAAACCGAACTTAATATTTTATAATTTTTCTTAACACTAAAACTACCAGATGCATCAAAATGGCCCGTTCCTGGTTTCTTTTTTTGCAATTATTAAAAATATAACAGACGTTTCTCTGAAAAATTATTCAAGCAATCGATTTAGCAATATGCAAACTGAATTGTAAATCGTAAATAGATGCATTCTTGGAGCTTGTATAGAGAGACTTCAAAAGGTCAATTTAACTGCTCGGTAGTGTCAAGTGTTCAAGCATGTGCATTAATTACATAAAAGTCAAATATTCATTTATATGTTTTTCTTACGAAGAAAGCAATGTCAATGTTCACGAAACATCAAAGGGGTGAAGCATTTTTAGTAATAGAGCATTTCGTATGCGAAGGAGCATATTCGTTGAGTATCGCCCTAATTTCATAATACGTATGGCAATTAACAGACAGTGGTTAAGAATGAAATTCCTGGGATCCACGCGAAGGCGTGGAGCATTCCACCGACACTTGCGCGAGTGCAGCTAAGGGCACGCGTGTAGGCTCTCATCGTGTCTTTCACATTTTGTTCGAACAGAGCATGTAACACGTACTACATAATCCTAAATAAGTCGTGTTTCTACGATAACACGAACCAGTACGGCTTACCGAGGTGATCAATTAATTCTGAATTGGTGTCAAGATCGCCTTTAATTTGGATCACGCATCTTTGCCACATAAACTAAGCTAATAAATACGATAGATAATTATGGTAACTATGTTATTAATTTCTTATTTTCTAGTCAGGACTATTGATATCGTGTTTCATTGGGATCATGGACCTCGCGTCGAGTTAATTAATGTGATTACGAAGTAATGATAGACATTAAGGTTCAATGATAGAAGCGTTTTGGTCTATTTCAACAATTCATTATCTCGTCTTCCAAAACAGTGAATTCAATTCGTTTCCATACGTTTTAATTAATTTCTGAAAGTATTTACTTTGAACGTCTATCTAACAGTAAGTGGATACAAGAAGAACTAATGGAGATTAATTATGGAGAGATTTAATGTTAAACAAAATTCCCACAAACTAATGAGACGACAATGAGAAACAGTACACGAGGAGTATACTTCCGTGTTGAAAGGATTAATGTGTTTACATTAGCAAATAGCTATAAAAAATACGTTCGCGCTGTTATGAAACGCAATGTTACGGAAAAATGTAATATAATGAAGCATTCTTATAAAGAAGTACAACGTAATATGTAAATCATTACGAACAACAGGAAATATGTATTTCCTCCCTTCATAAAGTGAATATACAAATTATTTAATAAATGACTAATTTGAAGTATCGGTAAGTGACATATCATTTATATCTTTAAAAATAAACAACTTATACCACTGTAATTGTTATTATTCTATAATAACATTTATTGTAAACTTATTTTTTACCAGACAGCACATCAGAAAAATATTGTAAATATAAACTATACTATATTACCGTGTGTTTAAATATATAGATAAAAATCTAGTGCAAATTCTCCATTACTAAAGCTTTGTTCAATTCTATTCCACGAGTATTACCACCACAACACGTCTGTTCAAAAACGATACCTTTAATTTATTTATCGTCATCAATTAGTAAATACAAACTTATACTCTCTAATGAATTAAGAAAATTTATTCAATCATCACATGACCGGTTTCTTTCTTTAATCAATTACTCAATTACAACTTATAGATACAACCAATAGGTTCACTAAAATCAGACGGAGCTAGAAGAAACTACCAAAGCATTATTATAGATAACACGGTAGGCAGCTAGTAAGTTTCGTCGTTTCGCATAAGTACATTTCGCGGAAGTTCCGCTCTCATTGTTATCGTTCGTACTCTACGTGTCAGTTTAGCGCGCCTCGCGAAACATAGAACACCCGCGGGACGCGGTTATAGAGCTAATGGTGTCCTTTTTCTGCGGGAGAGTTCAACGTCAGCACGTTGCTAACTAAACACGAGGTGGCTGACAAGAATTCGATTCACGAAATCAGCTCAACGAGTTTCTCTGACTTCGTACTCGTCGCCGACGAGACGCGACACGGAGATTCGCATGTACTGCCCGCGTGGCTGAACAATTCCGAGTAAGATACCCTCACATACCATCGTGACTTCGTCATTTTGTTCAGTAATCGTAGACGCTGACTATAACCGCTGACCAGGAAATGCTATCTACTGGCAGGAAACTCTTAGCATTATCTCCAATTTGGGCATTGATTCGTTGCAATTAGTCTTAGTTTTTACTTCATGCACTATTGTATCGTTTTGTA